AGGTGGGAAAGGTTTGTCAGCCTATTTTTATGTTTGAGCCTATTTTAAATAATAAGCCCATATTTTTAATAAAGTAAAGCCTATCCAACTAATAGGTCAAAACAACTTAAACCTACGTTAATCCTTACAAGTCACAGTAAGTGTTCTGTAGCAACTTCAACTCTCCTGTGCTCTAATATATCACGACTTCAACTCTCTTGTGCTCTACTACTCAGCACTCACGCTACCTTTCAGCTTTGAAATCAACACTGAATGATCAACCACAGAAGCTAGCAGCACTCAAAGATCAACCACAGACCCCTCTCTTAATGACAAATAGTCCTTGAGAGTTTTAACAAGAGGAATTGGGCTAGAATCTAATTATGTTTTATTTTTAGTATTATTATTTAAGTTATGAACTTTGAATTCAGTGTTTTGTATTTGTGGACCAAGACTTTATTTTGGTGAACCGTGACTTTGTTTTTTAGAGACACAGCGTTTTTAATGCATTTGGTTCAATATGGGTTTATATACATCATGTTGGAAAATTGTAGAATATTACATGTAGTACTTTCTAAACAATGTGTCTGACATGAGGCAAGTGAGCGCTTTTTTTGCGCCTTGCGCCTCAAGTGCTGGAGTGCCTTAGCGCTTTGAGTGCGCCTCGCGACTTTGGCTTCTTTGGTATTGACTATTGCATTTTATGTTTAATTATGTACTAATATGTACTAAGTTCTAAGATTGAACATGTAGAATGTATTTATCATTGGTTATCAGACCGACTTATATGAAAAACGATATGTGCATGTAATAGAAGATAAAACATGTATACATGTATGAAATCATATTTACAAATGTTTCCTTATATTTTTGAATGTTTACGTGTTTCCCACTTTCCCCTGTGTTTCGTATCCTAATTTTTTTAAGACTCGTTTCCCATTTCAATGTTACTTAGCCCAATACCCATCGATCAACAACATAAAATACATAAGCTACGTTAACAAGTGTGAAACAGCTTCTTTCTCATAACTTTAGTATAATGCCAAGTTTACTCTAGTGGCCAAAGACTCCTGTTCCTCGCTCTCCAAACCCAGTACCCACCCATCTACCCACAATAGGAATGGCAAACTTTGAACCCAGCATAAAGTTATGTGTTCTTATAGTTGCTCCACTCTCCTAAATGCTCAAAAACTTCCTACATTTGCAACCACTTGGTTCTAGCATGAGATATGGCCATCTCTGTACATCTCTGTACATCTTTGTATGGATTCATCCGTTACTTATCAAACAACCATCTGCGGTTCTGCGGTGCACCTTAACATAGCTAGACTTTGAAAATCCAAACACAGATTTTAAGGCAACAATTTCCATAAGTTGTTTAATTGTACACTTTCGGGAAGTTAAATGGCCGTCCTGGTAACCCCTTCATTTTCTTTTCTTTCTTGAGAAATTTAATTCAGTAAAGAAGACCATAATATCCAACTAAATGCAGAAAGCACTGCAAGTAAGGTGAGAACAGTGAAGTGTGAAATCTCAATTGTGCAAAGACTCTCCTCTATTGAATTGATCATGAATCAGATATCTCAATCAGGTATTCATACTCTAAACTTTACAACTGTGTCTATCAAATGCCAAAAACAGCACCATGTATGAATTACTTTGTCAGAAGGGACACTAAAATTGCTAGGAAATATCACTTTTGCATCACTCCTTAACTGGATCATACAGAGCATGACAAACGTATAATCAGACTTTAGTTAAGGCACCCTTACATCTTTAAGGGTGTTAAGAATCTCCTCTAAAGCTGATGGTGCAACTGCATCGTGGGATATGAGCTTTTGCAGACATGACAGTCCAATCACACTCAACTTTGCCGTCCTAACTTCACAGGCCATCAGAAATATATTCAGTATATCTTCATTATGCGCAATTTCACTAGGGCTGGACAATGATCTGAGCTGCAAGTTTAGTACCTTACTAGTTTAAAATCACATCTTGCAAAAAAAAATACTTCTTTACATTGACTAAACAAAATGGACTTGAAAAAAAAAGTTTAAGATCAATGTTACCAGTATATGAAATTAAACTATATCACTACCTGAGTTATTTATTCAACATAACTTCATTAATTATAAATCTGCAGTTACTGGAAAGTTCATTTGAGGAAATGCTGAAGGATGTCAGCTTAAAGTGCAGAGATAGATAATGGTAAGAAAAATAAAACCTTCAAGATGGCATGTTCCGCGGCGTCCTTAACGTTGGGATGACGCCGGCGAGCCTCCGCGGAGAGAGCTCTAAGATCTGCCTCCAAAACGGCCATTAACGCCATCTCTCTCCAATCAAATACAGATAGATTCAGTAATTGCCTTGGTTTTACTTTTGAATGCCAAAACAGATTACAATTGTAAACGTTGTTTGGTTAATTAATCGGACATCGAAAAAGATCTGCCATCGCGGGAAGTTCAGTGACTGCGTTAAGCGTGTAGCACACGCGGGTAGAGGGACTATGGGAGGAGGGTCTATCCAGGTGGGATCAGTCGGGCACTCTGGGGTGATCTTGGTTTCAGCAGAATGGGAAGTCTTCCCTGATTTTTGTTTGACAGAATGGGCGGTTAAAAAAAAGTAAAAATTATTGTTAAAATTTGAGCAGAATAAAATAAAATAATATTGTTCTCTACGTCTCTTAAAACTTTATCAACTTTTCTTTTTTGGATGTCCCACTAACTTTGTCATTTTTACTTTTAAGTAAAAAATTTGTGGTTTCAGTTGATTCCCTCTCCTTGCACAAACCTCAACCACACAGTTTTTACTTTATTAATTCTCGTGTCGGTCAAATTTGGCAAAGTTTTAAGGGATAGTGGTAGTATAAGTCAAATATTTCTTGTCAAAAAAATAGGGCATTCATTTTGGAAACAATTGAAAAGGAAAAGTAAGCAACTAAAATGGGACGGGTGGAGTACTACCTCCGTCCGAGAGCCCCATTTTGTAATGGCTGCATTGCATTGAAATGGCTGAAATTGATGAAATGAAAGTGTTTAGTACGGAGTACAAAGTAATACTTTGACTAAAATAGTTGATTATATGTAAAATTACCATAAAAGATATTAATTTGTGTCTATCCTAGAAGAAGGTTATATTTGGCCTAAAGCTTTATATCAGCAGTCCGACAACTCTTACAATCCCTTTTTGTATATTCCTAATATTTTTTTATTAAGAATTCTTATAACATTCTATAGGCCACTCTTGCAACGGTAAAAGCAATAAATAACATTGAACCTCGGCGATAAAATCACTATCATATATCTCAAGAACAATTGGAGAGGAAACGTGGAAGGAAAGAGGATCGAAAAGGGGTTATTGTGTAAGGTGCAAAGGGTGGTGGAGTAGGGTAGTTGTCATAAGGGGGTGAAGTATTGAGATTTGTTCCTTTGGGGATTTACTGGGATTGGGCGCCAGTTTAATTTCCGTTGAATAACTATTTGTAAACAACTATAAACGATACGGCAAGACTTAGAAACGATCACTCCTGAAAGAGTAATACGAATCGTTAACCACCAAACAGGTGTGACACATCAATCACTGGTCATATAGATCCTTCTAACGACATAACACCTAGCATAATTGTCAATCATTATTGTAGACCTAAAATTAAAGACGTCAACAAAAACAGAGAAACGTAAACAAACATAACGCGAAAATAAAATCATACGAAATAAAATAACTTATAAAATTGAACTCCTTCATGCCAATTTTCTTGAAACATCATTTTTCGAGCTTTAAAACCTCGATCGCTCCAAGGTGGCGTTTCAGGAGGGGGGCAGACCGTCGACCTATCTTCTCTCTTGTTCAACCATTTACCGCTTCCCGACTGCTCATCGTTCGTGCCGCCTCCTAATATGTTTTCACCCTGACAATCTCCATATTTTGGGGCTTATCCACCAACTCCTCCATTGAACTAACACAGAAAGCTTCGACACACGCTGTCTCTTGGAAATCCATGAAGACCCAACCTCTTCCTACTTGTATATTTCACTCTTCCTTAAACTGATAATCGTCGAAGCGCAAGAAGAGAAAAAAACTCACACAATCGATGAAGATTTGCGGGAAAACAAAACCATACGTAGAGGGACACGGCCGCAATGTAAGTATAACATTATCAATTTACATTAGAAACAATGCAAAAACTTGTCTCATTGTATAAAAATGCCACAATGAAAAAATAATGTTGATGTAAAAAAGCTATAATGACTAAAACAATATTAATATTGTAAAAATTATCATATTAATGCTAAAAATGTCACAAATTTACATTATGTTATATTGCTACGAAATAGTATTGCTAAAGGTGATCATATCGTTATTAATGAAAGTAAAAAATAATGACATTTTTATAAATAAAGTTATAAACCATGTAATGTTTTATAAAAACCTTGCATTGTTAAATAATGTCAATATCACTAAAAGATGTTAGGATATTAAAAAAATAATGCCCATTATCATATGACATTGTTTCGTTGATGACATTGTGATCTTGCGGCATTGTGATATTATACACCAGTAATGAAGATATGACATATTTTTTGTTGATGACATTGTAATATTATAAAATTGTCAAGTGACAGTGTGACGTGTAATAATAGTTTTACATTGTTATAAGTGACATTATTTTGGTCGATGACATTGTGATATTTTGACATTGTTATGCGATGATGTGCAATAACAATGTAATATTGTCAAAAAGTGGCATTATTTTCATTGATGACACGTGATACTGTAACATTTTCTAATAACATTGTAAATTGTTTTAGATTATGACAGTCTGATATCATCCCATTGTTATGACACAATATGACACTATGTTAATAACATGACATTGTAAAAAAGTGACAATTTTTTTATCGATAACGTTATAATAATATTATGATATTAACATTTAAATATCATAATATGTAGTGTTAACATGATATCAATGTTGCCAAGAACGTCATACTATTAAAAACAACCATATCGTAAAAAGGGTGTGATAATGTTGTCAAAATAAAATTTCACAAAGCCATGTGTTCTTAAACGAAATTGCATGTCATAAAAGCCACTTGACACTATGCTAGCTAGAAGATAAAGTTTATTCGATTTTTTTTCCTTAAAAAAACAAATAAAGAAATAAGAAAGAAAGATTAAACTAAACAAACAATGAAGAAAATTGAAAAATGACTTGCACGGTATTAGCAGTTCAGCACCTCTTCTTCCTTTTGGTGCTCACTGCTCAGTGCCATTTTCATCTCTAGTAAGAAAATGGTAAATTAAGTACATCAATTTGTACAAGTAGGTGTAAAATGCACACTATGTTACATCTTAAATCAGACATTCCTAAGTATATAAACTTGTTTTTTAGTGTTAATTGAATAAACTCTTACATTAACACATTAATATGGTTGAGCTAGAAAAATGCTAGAAGCACAAACACACTCACAAAAAAACTTACAAACAAATGATGTGACTATTCTAATTACCATTGATACAAAAGTGTTGTAAATGTGATGTGTTAAATAATGTGATCATGTTACATACCCTTTTGTAAGACTTTTTGTAAAAGTGTGTGTACCTCTAGCATAACTCGTTGAGCTAACATAATGCTAAGTAAGAAGGGGAAGTGGACCAAGAGGAAGTCGACCTAAAAGGGGAAGTCGACCAAGGTTTTGGCGTTAACTTCTATAGCTCGACTTGTGGGGCGTCGAGGTGCTTGGGTGCATTGACCAATGGAAAGTCGACTCGCAGGGATTGTCGTAAACAAAGGGGTTGAGGGACGGCGTCGACCTATTAACATTTCGCTAGCCAACTCAGCCGTATTAACGGGTGTACTTAATTAACACTAAAACCCTGAATTTATGTAATCCATACTTAGAAATGTCAAACGCAAACACAATGCACTATTTACTTCACCTCATACAAATCGATTCCACTGCATACAAATTGATGTACTAATTTGTATGACTTCTTCCTCATCTTTAATAATTTGATGTACTCAATTGAATCATCTCGCAAACGATCATCCACAGTATTCAATTCAGAAGCGTTACAAGATCCCAGGTCATCTGTCTCTGCCGTCAGCTTCCTTCACTCAGGTGAAGCTACGAATCAAAGGTGAAGGCAATGGTATGCAAACTGAAGCATGGCAATTGTCTAAATGAAAGAAGACTATCTGTAATCCTATATGAAACCATTCCGCTTCTCATATAACAACACAAAGAAATGTAAAAAATATACAATGTGGAGGATGAGAATTCATTCAATCCTCTAAAACATACGGCATAATTGACTCCTCAAACAACTATTGCAGAAAATAACCAGACAAGAAGACCAAAAATCCAAAGAACAAACCACCATAGATAAGGAGAGCTTTCTGGTCAGAGGTGAGAGTATTACCACCAAAACCAAACTGCTGATTCTGGGCAAAACCAGCAACCTCCACGCTCTTGCTTTGGAAGAAACTCTTGGCAGCCCCACAAGTAGGGCACCTCCAATCCTCCGGCATCCTATCGAAGGGCAGCCCGGGAGGAATGGGATAAGAAGGATCACCAATTGCTTCATTAAAATTGTACCCACACGACCTACACTCATGTATTCCAGTGTTTAGGACCGCAAACTTCTCCTCCAATCTCCTCGCATCAAAGCTTTCACTCTCTGTGGGCAAATTATCCTCATCAGGGGCTTCTGAAGGCAGAATTGATTCCTGCCAGGTGGGTTTGTCTTCTTGGGAGACATCTATGGATCTTGATAGAGGGAGTTGTGGACGGCTGTGAATGGAGAGGGGTTTTTGGAGGAGAGGGGAAAGTGGGTAAGAAATGCGGTGGGGTTTCGGTTTCAGAGGAGTGGGGGGGTTGGGTTGGGAGAGATGGGGTGAGAAGGAGACTCTTGAAGTTGCAGATGAAGAAGCCATCACCAGAGCTTATTTTGTTCTTCAGGCCAATCTGATTCTTATGGGAAAGAGGACGGAGATATGTGGTGGTATACTGGTATCACCAACTCGCAAGTCGCAATACGCCCTTTCATCAAATGGTGGATAAGGTTCGAATAATTGTACAAATAAATAAAATGCACTCGCTCCTCTCTATTACTACGTACTACGTATATGGGTAGGGGTGGACTCGGGCCGGTTCGGGGCCGGTCGGGCCTCCGGTTTGTAAATGATGGGCCCAGGACCGGCCCGAGATAAGGACGGTTCCGGTTCGGGCCGGGCCACCCGCCCGGGTCACCCGTCGGGCCACCCGCCGGGCCGGGTAAATCCAATTGTTTACTTATTTATTCTTTATAGTTTTATACAAGTATTAAAAATAAACTTCAAGTACATTTATTTGAAATGAAATAGGAATTACATTTGACAATTGAGAAAAAATACAATATGAAATACATTTTGTAATCAATCGGAATTTCCCGTTCCTCTGGCTTTGTCACATGACTTAATATGCTTCTTGTTCATCTCGTATCTGCGTGAAACCCCCCAAGCTACATTTTTTCCCGCATCATTTGCAAGTTGCGTACCACATCCCGCTCCTTTGGGTCCTTCTGCGTATACAAATTATACGCGATAACGGCATATTGACTTTCCATCTTAAAAATGTAACAAATATTAATTTATAAAAACAATTCGAATTAATGAAATAAAATTCTAACAATTCTAACTTTAATGAAATAAAATTCTAACAATTCTAACTTTAATTCGTACTAACAATTATCTTATGTACTAACAATCAAAGTATTATATAAAATGTACTAACAATTCGAACTAAGTAGATATAAATTATAATATGTATGTATTTAGTAGATATAAGTAGATAATAAGAAGTGTTGAGGTTTATTCCCTCAACCCGCATGCCCAACACGTAACTTGGGGGTCTCGAATGGGTGATGAGCAAGTAAATGGAGAAATAAGCAGGAAATGGTTTGATAAACTGTCTTTACTCACTGAAAATTGTTAGAGACCGAAGGGCCGAACGTACAATACTGTGTTACGAACTGATTCTATTGCTAGAGTGCTAGAGTACTAAAATGCGAACCCTTTTACAGTGAAATAAATGCTGCTATTTATACCGCCAATGGGTGGTTGGACATGTTGACGTGGCAGGCTGTGGGCGACATGATCCCAACCACCAAATCTTCTGCATTAAATGCGCTTTCCGCTAGAATCTTGGTTTCCCGCCACTGGGTGGGGACGTTCGTCCCCAAAGGCTTGGCTCCTATCTCATGCTCGAATGGCAACCTCCTGCCAATGGGAAAGGGGACGTTCGTCCCCATGCACCTGAGCTATCCTTAATCTATTCTTGAGCCGCGTCTGGTACCCTATCGCGGGGTGAGGACGTTCGTCCCCGTATACCTTGTAGGGACCCTGGGTCTGGATGCCCGCTGATGGTGGAACACGTACGTCTCCTGGCCCTTGGGCCCCGATACTGGTTGGTAATGGGATACGTACGTCTCCTGGCCATTTAGCTTTGGGCCTCCTTCTTGGGCAGTTAGTAAGACGTTCTTAGGTGACTTTTAAGGGTTGATGGGCCGCCCTTTACCGGGCCATTAACCCAACAAGTAGAGATTAAGTAGATAACAAATATAAGTAATATAATATATGTTTTTATAAATAGATAATTAATATATAACTATATAAGTAGATAAGAAATATAAGTAATATAATATATGTATTTATAAGTAGATATATCATATATTGGAGAATAAGAGAATTTGAGAAGATGAAGATGAAGATAATTAGAGAGTAGAGAGTGGGTTTTAGGAAGAGTTGGAGAAGAGAAATGGAAAAATGTTTAATATTAGGAGTATGTATAGTTTTTTTACCCCTCCCCCACCCTCCCCTAACTCCCCAAACTGCCCGGACCCCCCAGCCCACCCAACGGCTATATAGCCGTTTGAGTAGTCCCCATCATACCCCCAACGGCTCTATTGGCCCAAAAACATTTTTTTTTATAAGTAGCCGTTGTGACCCGGGCCCGACCCGGCCGGGCCGGGGCACGTTTTGCCGGAACCGAGCCCGCACCCCGCTGCCCCCCCCCCCCCCAGGTTCGGGTCTACATCCGGTCCCGGACCGCCAAACCAGACCGGTCCCTGGCCTGCACAGTAGCGGGCCGGGTGGCCCGAACCGAATCCACCCCTATATATGGCTTGTTTCCTATCTTAAAATAAAAGCTAGTAAGCTACCCCACATATTTTCTTTTTATATTGTCTCAAATTAATGGTTGTGTTTCCTTTTTCAATTTTGGTTGTTGTACACAACTTGTACACAAAATATCGGTCACAGACAATTGGTACAGAGTCGTCTGTGATCACAGACAAAAGCTTTCTTTGTCCACAAACATTAGTTTTCGTGTAAAAAAGTACACTGACAGTCATCTGATATTGACATTGACTTGTGAATCAATCTATATATGTGCAGTATGTGTGCACAGAAATAATCGTTTGTGCACAGACAATTATTTTATGTGACCAAACTGTGGATTTTCAAATGATTTTTCCACACAGACAATAATTATGGAATCACAAACAAATATTGCCCGTGTGATCGTTTTTAATTGTCTTTGTGCACATAGCAGACAACTGTTGTTTGTGTGATTATTTTTAATTGTTTAGATGAACAAAATATTTAATTGTTTATATACGTCCAAATGAATTATGTAGATGTGTGTGCAATTAATTTATATGTAATTTGAAAAAGCTGAAAAGATGTTAAAAATATATGAAAATAGATAAATAAAAAAGCTGATAGAGAGTGAAGAAAGAAGGGAGAGAGGGAAAAGAGGAGAAGGAAAAATAGAAGAATGAGAATGATATTTTTGAACTTATATACTCTGTACAACTTGTGTATAAACATAAATTTTCTTCTTTTTTTGACAATGATCATTTATATAATTCATATTTTATCATTCATTTGCTCAACTCTCACACGTACGTACTCCATTTTTCCGGTTGTTATGATTTCTACTATAGCCATCGAATAACCCAACTCCCTTTATAACATTACTTGTACAACTATACCTGCTCATTTTTACATATTGTGACACAACATTCTCTTTGTTGTATTTGTTTTGTTTAATAAAATGTTGAAATTTTCTAATATAAACTTATATGTGTAATCTCAAATAAAGTAAACAATTTCATTTTAGCTTTTTGTCTCTCTATACACATTGACTGGTTTGAACTCTTAAAATACGTGATATTTAAACAACAAGTTGAATCCAAAATTGGATGGATAACAAGTAAGGGTGACCCGGTCCGACACTGTTTGGGACCAGACCAATGATTTTTTAACCTTGGAAAAAAAGCAAAAACAAAATAATATAGAATGGGATCAAGTTGAGATCGAGAACAGAACTGGGACCGGACTACCTGGGTACTCGGAACTGGTCCAGACTTGAATATAACATGGTTGGACATGGGCTTCTCTAACCAACGATCGGGACCGATTGGTCCATGACCAGAACAGAGACCGGACCGGGACAGAATCCACCCCTAATAACAAGTGACCTCGTTAAGATTTTGGTAGTAAAAATTGAAGTATCAATATAGTTACTATTGAGGTTCATTCCTTCTATCCGTAGGGCCAACACGTAACCCAAGGATTTCGAATGGATGTTTTAGTGATTTAGATGGTTAAACAAGCAAGAAATGCCTAACAAGAAGTCTTAGTAAAACTGTCGTTACAAGGCGTGAGACCGTACGTACAAAGCTATGATACGAGTTGATATAATTGCTATAATCTAGAGTGCTCAATTGCCAACAATATACAATGAAATACATGCTACTATTTATACCACCAATGAGTAGTTAGATAAACTGACGTGGCGGGCCATGGATGGCTCGATCTCAACCACCAAATCTTCTGCATTAAATGCGCTTCCCGCCAAGATCTTGATTTCCCGCCAAGGGATGGGGATGAGCATCCCATGAGCTTGCTTCCCGTTTTCCGCTGGGTCCAAAGTCTTATGAGACGGGCGTCTCGCGTTGCTCCTGGGCCAAGATACCCCTATACCCTTGGACACGTATGTCCCCTGGGCCTTGATGATGTGGGTTGGTCCTGTTGAGGATGAGCCTCGCCTTCAACTGGGGGAGAGCACCCCAATTGGCTTGGGTTATGGGGGACGCTCGTAGGGTGGCCCTTAAGGGTTTATGGGTCAATCCTTGTTTGTCCATTAACCCAACAGTAACTTATACAAAGAATGGTCAGATTTTACACAAAAAGAATTTGCTAATTAAAGTTTAGTTGAAAAAGATAGTACTAAACATGTAATGATTGGATCCCATTTGGTAATGCATTTTCAGCTCATCGATTACCTTCCCAAAATTTCATGCAGAAAGATGTACTCCCCCGATTCCAAAACAAATTCAGTGTTTGACTTCACACAAATTAAGGAAATAAATTTTACTTTATTGTAGAGTACACTGTTTGTGACACTGTTGGGCACTATTTGACACTGTTTTGCACTGTTTTGATGTAGATAATTTGCCAAATAAGGAAGGAAGAAGAAGTGTGAAGTTTATTTTGGACCTACCCAAAAAGGAAAGTGTGAATATGATTCGGGACCGGAGGGAGTATAATAATAAAAAGAAAGATTCAAATTACATTTTTATTACTACCTCCGTCCCGCTATGATTGTCCCATTTTACCTTATCGGTCCGTCCCACTAAGATTGTCCCTTACCAAATTTGGTAAAGTTTGTGTGGCTCTAAATCATTCTTACTTTATTCTTACTTTATCAATTCAATATCAACCACATAAACCACTTTTTATTAACTCGCGTGCCACTCCCTCTCGTCCCATTGTTAGCGGAACGGAGGGAGTATAAAGGAGGGACATCACCATCCATTTCACCTACAAAATCCAGTTACTGGGTGGTAGCGGTTTGTGCTACCAACGGCGGGTTAAAGAACGAGAAGAAAGAGAGTTGGCCTGTCTTCGTGCGGATAATGTGTTAGTACCCAATTTTGATAAGATTTTGATGATGCCACTATACTTAGCACGTGTACATTGTGTCTCATTTTGTTCTAGTA